TTTGCGGCATGCATGCATTAAGATATCCCGAGTCACAGAGTTCCAGGCCTTTGCCTCTAACCATATTGCTGCCTTTACATTAAATGGTTTTCGGAAATCTTGTATCCGAATCAATAATGTAAATCAACTTTATAGCGGCACTTAACGCTTCTTAATACACCTTTATCTAAAGGCTGAATGATTGATGTGCGATTTGGGGGAGGTATTTAATATTGACATTATTTGCTTTTAGCACAGCCTGGTTGTGCCATGCAATTATCCAAACATAAAACAATTTTGCAATCATCGGGTAACCCCACTGATTTATAGTTTGGGACAAATTCATTTTCAAACCATTCAGTGAATAGTTCCTGTGTTTTCATATAACGAGGATTCTTACTCTTTCCAATTAGGGTAAGTTTTAATTTACATGTACCTGCTGCATTGGTGCAAGCCAGCAGCGTAAACCTGTCTTTGGCAACTTTGAATCTGCTAGGGTTTGTTTTCCCTACTAAGGTGTAAGTTGTAGTGGGAAGAAATTTAAAATAAAGTCCAGTCTCATCAGCATTGAAAATTTGTCCATTGTCAAATTTCAAGTTTGAACATGGTTCAAAACTGTTATAACAATTTTCTACATCCGCAGTTGCTTTTTCTCCACTAAGTTTCATGAGACGAAGACCATGACGTTGTTTGAAACGGACGAAGCACTGCATCCAGTAGTATATTCATAGTTGTTCTCTATTTCCAGATTTTATTTGACGGAAATTTTTAGCCTGAGCCATTATTATTAGCCGACTTAATGGGAACTGTTCAGATCTCCTCTGCTGTATCCACTCTATAAGCACTTTGTCAACATCTTCGTTTTTAGCTAAATGCAAAGTTTTGGGTGAGTTCATTGCATCGAGTTGCTGGCAATTCAAAAAAAAAATTAAGTAAATCTTTCTTTTGATTTTTAATGTCATAAATCATCGATAAACCAACATTGTAGAACTCCCCTTAGCAATTTTACGGAAGAACCTTCAGCTTACTTTTTCACACTCTCTACTTTACTTTTGATGGATAAACTCACGCGTTTTCTTTTTTTAGATGATGATGCAGCAACTAAACATTTTCAAAAGACTAAAAATATGACATATAAAAGTAAGCAAAAGCGAAATTTTATTTCTTCTTCGAGCGACTGCACTCAATTTGAAGCAACTTCATAATAAACCATTCCTAAAGCAGTGTGCAAATGAAGAAATCTCCTTTTATTAGGGGGTGGGATTATATGAAGAGCTGGGAGTGGAATAGAGAACTGATGTCCTCCCACCAGCTCTGATAAAGATCTCAAAAATATTTCATTGTGAGGGAGAAGGAATTTCTTACTGACTTTGAAATTCTCAGTGGGAGGAGAACACATTCAATCTTATTTCCTCTCTTATGTTAAAATAGAAGACCACCATAGTAAGTAATAAAAATGCTTTCTAGACAAAATATAGATGAGTCATCAATTTTACTATTGGTTTTCAAAATATTTTATTATCAGGGAGGAATTTTATCTATAACTAATCCCGCGTTTAGATTTACTTAACTAATAACAAGCTTGTTAAAGCTGAAAAAAAAGGGGGAAGATAATGCAAGAAAGAAATGAGCCTAATTATCAGCATGAAGGCCATTCAGTTACATTCCCCCTTCTCTTTTAAATTTGGAAATGGTGATGTTGCAAAATTCTCTCCCTCAGGATAAAAGTTGCCCATCAGCAAAGTAAACAATACATTGAAGGTGTACAATTGAAAGCTCTAGCCTAGCTGACTAGAGAATAAATAATGGAAGGTATACAATTTAAAGGGCAAGTTTTCCTTCCCCATGCCTGTATTAGCAACAGACTCCCTGTGCTGTAGATAACTTTAATTACAGGAAATGCTTTTAAGAATGTCCCATAAATATGGAGCATCTTTTAAGGTTTTCTGATAATCAGTTATTTCAATTAGGTGCATTTTGAACTATTAATGGAAAAGAAAAGCACTATACTTTTATGTATATATCTATATTTATTTGAAAATTATGAGACAACATGTTTCATTAAGTTCATTAATTTTTTTTTTAACATATGATGCAATATAGAATTGATAGAAAGTTAGATCCTCAAAGGCTCTCTAAGTGCCTGAGGCCCCCATACCCTGCCCATGAAAAATGATGGTACTGGAAGGAATAATTAAAAAGTCATGCGTAATTAGAAAACGGGATCTTGCAGACTATTCTGAAAAAATAAAAGCAATTAACAAGAAGTTTTGATTATTGTAATTCATTATGTTTTGATTTTGAATCCTTAATTACCATATTTCGAAATATATTTCTGGGAAAAATAAAATCAATACTGATTAATAAATGGACTTGATACACTTACATAAAAGGAAAAAAAGTCTGTTCCACTTCAATTTAAGAATTAATTTGAAAACAAATGCTAATTAAGTAAGATTTACAAATTAGAAGGATTGAACTTTCATGTTTTTTAAACGATTACAGCTCTTTTTATTTATAATCATTTTTGTATACAAGGATTGCTATAAACTATTTTTATTTATAAAAATAAGGAAGGCGTGAATTAGAAAGAGAATCCTCATATATTATGCCACACTACAAATATGCTTACTATTAGTAGTAGTATTTATATGAATATTAAATATTTATCTGAAATTTGCCTTAAAAAAATTGAAATCTGTGTTTTAGTTTCATCTTTCTAAAGGTATTAAACAAAATTTAAAAATCAGTGCTACTTGATTGACAAATCCAAGGTAATGTAAATATGTGTAAATGATTGGGAATGTTATTTATATCTAATAAATAGATCTTCTATTTTTTATTTTATCTAATTCTTTAACTTGACATCACAGACGTTATATATTTTTTTCTTCAGGGAGGGGGGATTCCAGTAGCCAGATCCCTTTATGTCAACATTAATCAACACTATTAAATGTCATGTGCATCTCACGTTTTTGATGATTTCTGGCTACTGGGGGAATTAAAATACACACTTACAATAATTCTCGAAATTTCACTCATAAAAAAGGTTTTTTATCATCAGAATGATAAATTTCTTATTTCTTACCTTGTTTTAGACATATCGGAATTTTATTATTTATTTTAATTCTACACTTCATTAATTGTGAAATCTTACAAGGAAAAGAAAGTTTTTTTAAATGGTGCTAAAATGTATTGAATTTTGTTCCAGATATCTGGTTTTCCGGTTTTCAAATGTCTGGATAAGAGGTTCTGTACTGTATCTATAGATATTGTATATTATTTAAATTAAGACAACTAATTTTTTATCTGAAATATCTAAAGTAGTTTTTAATCTAGAAATTTCTTTCTGAATTGTGAATGATTGAAACTTTTATACAGTACATACAGATCAGTGCTGTTTTTATTATAAAAAAACTACAATATAGCAAAAGAGATTAAAAAAAACAACCTAATAAAACATATTCAATTATACTTTTAAAAAAAAACTGTTCTGTCGTGTTACTACCAGCTGAATAAGCCTCTATTTTAGCTTTTTGCAATGTTACGGACATATTTTTGAGTATAGTGAAAGACTTGGATATTATCAAAAGATCATAAAGTAGTATTTCAAACTGTGTGTGCTATAGAAATAACATACATCATTTTGTTAAGGTTTAATTGTAAGGATATGCAGTTAAATATTCATAACATTAATCTAAAGCTGTTTTGTAAGAAGTTTATCATTGTATTTCAAAATAATAATTCTCTTTCTCTGTTTTCTGACTTTCTCTGTCACCTTTTTTTTACTAAAAAAATAATTTTTATTGAGATGATATTGTTGACTTACAAGTGAAACACTTAAGCTATGATTATAGTTATGAATAATTTGATTCAAACTAAAAAATTTTCAGTTAATGTGTTTTACTTGTAAATTGCCAATTTGTTGTCCTTTAAGCTCGCATGATGTAAAAACCTATTTTTGAATATATATATATATATAAGTTCAAAATGAAGATAAAACAAAGAAAAATTATAGACTNATTTAAATACCTGCAATAAACTGTTTTTTTTTATCAAATGGAGCTATAAGCTAATAATTATCACTAATATAATCTTTAAAATATGTGAACAATTGAATCGTATATAGCTATATTTAATACAATGGCTAACACTTAATCAATCTAAAAATTTCTTTTTGTTTTTTGCTCATTCCGCTCGAACGATTCGTCGTATAATGCTCTAATTTCGACAGTGACCATCCTCGTGATTCAAACTACTGTTTGCTAAAATTCATCGATTTTCTTTGGTTTGTTTAATAGGCTACAAGGGACACACAGATTGCCAGATATATATATATATATATAGTAGATTGTTTTTGGAAAAGAAAAAAAAATTGAAACTTGTTTAAAATAACATAGTTTTTTCCTTATTGATTTTATTTAAATTTTTAATCTGAATGAGAAAATGAATTATATAGTTTTAGCTGAAAAGGTCAAGGCTTAAATGGTGATAAGTTTAGTTTAAGGGGTAATATAAATGAACTACTCTCCCCAATCATCATTTTTATCAATTGAAATGTTAAAAAAAAAAAAAAATATTGTACTAAATTTTTAATTTTTCTAAAATAATAATGAAACATTAAAAATAGAAAAAAGGCAATATGGATACATTGCTCTTTATTTCCCACACTGAATATAGTTTCAGCAGTTTATAATTTTTAAATAAATAACAAGTTTTTAAATTATCTGCTTCTATTTTTTATTTTTATTTTAAGTGCTAGAGAGAGAGCAAGATTAAAAATAGGAGAAATGAAACTCAAAGTATGTATCTCTAGCATGTAAGCATCAAAAATAAAGAAACTTATTATTTTTCAACATTAAAAAGGATTAAAATTAGGAAAAAATAATTATGTCCTCAGACTGGAAAGACAGTTTCCCCTATTCATCCCTGTTTAAATACTTTGACTCTTATAATTAATGATAAGTTGTAGTGTTAATTTTTAATATTTCTTTCTAACATGTATTCTTTCTTCAATCTAGATTTACTCAAAATTTGTCAGTCTTTCGACGGGATGTAAATGACTCTCTTAAAGGTCCAAATATATTAAACTCATCTTTGTATGATGTAAATTAATTTCATATAGTTTTAAAATTTGTTGGAATTGTATGCAAGGCCCATCAACTACATTGTGAATACCATCTTCTTCCTAGTATGTGTGATATTGAAAGAAAATAGGAAAAGTATTTGTGAAAACTGTTACATTGTCCTACAAATTGGGTGAAACATTCCAATGATTTGTTTGTTCACCCACATGATATATTTTTATACTCGTTGCTCAACAATTTAAATTATGAACTGAAATTTTGTATTTGTATCAATAGACTTGTTTTTTTTTCTTCACATTGACTGGGAGCTTAAATCATAAAAGCTGTTATAGTTCATTGAAATAATATTGTATTCGTTTGAACTTTCAATGTAAAAAGAAAATTAGAAAGTTCAAGAAATTTTTTTATACTATCACTGTTCCTCTTTGGGAAATGTGCCTGAATTGCCTTTCTTTCATTGTAAACTATTTTTTTAAAGAGATTAAGTTTTCAATCAAAATTAATTTCTTGCTCATTGAGCTGATTGCTTAAAATATTCTTTTATTTTTTCTGAAACTTATATTAATAATTTTTTTGAAGCAAAATTAATTGTTCAAAAATTTTTGTTTCCTCCTTTCTGTGTTGAACCATTAATTGAACATTTTCATGTGACATTGATACATTGTGTATTTATTCATTTGAAGTAATGAGGAAAGCATTTAGCTTTAGTTCTTATTTATTTATTTTTGCCATTTTCAAATCTGTATTTTCCCATTTTTTAATATGTTTTTTTTATCTATCAAAAGATAAACTTAATTGAACTTGTCATCTATTTTATGGGAAATTCACTATTACATGAACAATAGCATTTTTGTAAAGGCCAAAAATGTACTTTAATTTGTAGCTTGTCTTATTCTTTTTTTTTTTTTTTTTTTTTTTTTTTTTTTTTTTTTTTTTTTTTTTTTGTGCTTTTATGCTTTATATTTGTCCCTATTGTATTAAGCAATACTATATCATTTTGTGAATTAGATAAAAAAAATTATTTGAGGTAAATTTAAACAACTTTTTTTTAATAGTTTTAGTTTGAAGTACTTCTCCATTTTTAATTTCAGGGATTGTTTTTTTTAAAAGAAGAGTAATTTGGAAACAAATGATAAAATAAAAATATAAAAAACTTAGAATAATTATTTAAAACTATAATTTTAATTTCTATAATTTGAATTATACATAATCGTGTTCTGTGACTGGTTATAATACTTCTACAGTTATTGAAATAGAAAAATTTTGGAAAATTTGGATTTTTGTATTTAAACGAATCTTGACAGCTTGTGTTGTTCCTTAAGGTAATAAGTATAAGTGCTTAAGCAAAGAAGTGTTATATCATTATTGTTGCCAAAAATAGACTTCCCCAAACTTTTTCTTGTCAGTTTCTTGTACAAGAGAGTTCTAGTTCATTGAGCAATAAAATACAATGTTTGCCTTCTAAACATGATATAATTGCTTAAGCTGATTATACATGCTCAGATTTTCTATTCTTTTAAAAGTATAATCAAATGACATAATTTTATTTTTGTTTAATAAATTTCTTTTGGTATTTAAATGCAGTTTTTAAGTAAGCAAATTTGAAATTTTTTTTTAAAATCTAAAATGTACAATAATTTATTCAAAACTTTATGTATAAGATTGTTCGAATAATAATTTCAATTTTTTCCAACAGAAAACTTGAATTAAATTTTTCGCAGCCAACTTTCCACTTAAGCTGCATAATCCCAACTTCACACTTAAGACTCATAATCATTATCATACTGACAGTTGATATAGTAAAGCTTGTTTGTAAAGAAACTCGATTGATACTACACAGTAGATTTTGGTTGGAATCCTTTAGATATCGAAAGTGAAAAGTAGCATTTTCAGCATATTTTACTTTTTTGCAACCTTTATTAGGTAAAAAAACAGGAAATTTTTTTTTAATGTGCATAGATATATTGACAGAATGCCATTGCTAAAACTGTTTTGCAAAATTTTGATCCAACAAATTGAAGCTGATGAAGACGTGATAAAAGTGTGAACGGGTGCAAACTAATGAATAACATTTTGTGAGATAAGAGATTAGATTTATTGACTTTGACAGTTCATAATAATTTGAAATGTCTAGATTTAATCTCAGAGCATGATATATGGATTTCTCCTGTTCTTAATGAATTTTTTTTTACAGTTGTGGTAATGTCCGCGATTTGCGTCAGGAGCAACTAGAAAATTATCCACTTTTGAAGTACATTATTTCTGAAAACAAAATGAGAATCTGATTATTATTTGTTCCGGGTTCTATAAAAAAAATTTATGAACCTTTACTTTCAAATGAGGAGGTCAAAAGTTACTTGGATCGGTTTTTTTGCTTGCACAGAACAAAAATTTTATGAGCTAAGAATCATGATATTGCCAAAGAGATGGCAAAGGTATTGGGTCAGAATGCGCAATACATAATTCAAAAAAATATTTTTTCACTATAAGAAAATCATCTATAGTTTTCAATACAAAACGAAATTACTATCTGAACAATCTATTACAATTTGTTTTTTTTTCCTTTGAAATATTTTTTGTTATGAATCTGTGAAGATAACTAAACAATTCAAAAATGTATTAAAAAAAGGCAATTTTCATTAAATTTAGTACTTTGCAAATTTTAATTTCGCACTTTTTAATCTGTGATTTTTTTTTAATAATTGAGTAAATATTTGCTTAAAATTTATTTAGTAGCTCACTAAACACATCCTCTTTTCATTTATATGTTTATATTTTAGTTCATTTCTAACAAGACTGCTTATTAGATGGTTGAAACTCTCCGATTATATTTTTTAAAATTTATTTTGGTTTTAATTTAAGCAAATTCTTTTTGAACTCCAATTGTATCTTTAACTCCTTATTATATTTGTCTTGTATTTATTGTATTTTGAACTCCTATTGTTATTTTAAATTAATCAAGCATTGCAGATTCTGAAATAGAAGGTAATTTTTTCAGATCTCATTATCACTTTTTTGTATTTGAAAAGTGTACAAGTGCATTGTTGTTAACTATTACACTTAAGTCCCTCTTAAAAAGCAAGAAAACATTAGAATATTATTGAAAATATGTTTTCAGATAATTATTAACAAAACCAAGACTTTGGAATAAAGAAATTTAAAAATTTTGCATAAGTAAACCTTTCCGACAAGTTTGATATAAAGGAAAAATAAATAACAGGTGTAGGCTTTGTTTTGTTTGGTACAGTTCAAATAAACTTTATATGCTTAAAATTCGAAAAACGTTTTTCTTTTAAAGTTAGTTTTCCAGATATGCAAGGTTTTCTTCATGATCATCTTTAATATTTATATATTTGGAATTTTTGTCAATTATAAGGACAAAAAACATATTCATTTTCTGGTTTCAAATATTACTATATATATATTCAAATCATATATATTCAAATATACAAAGCATGAGAACATGTTTGTTTGCCTGGAACAACAAGGAGATGCTGAAAGACAATTTAAAACGCTTTCAAGTTTCAATTAGCTAACACCTTCAAGTTTCTATAAGCAAACACATGGGTTTTAAAATTTTGTTCACAGCTACTGAAGCATTTTTTAAAAATCCATTTTTGTTTTTTTTATTTCTCACATATTTGCAGCCCTTAGCATACCTGCCATGCCTCCTGTTTTTTAACGAAGACTCCTGTATTTTACGCCCATCTCCAGTTTACCTGTATATTCTCAAATTTTTTTTTGTATTTTTTGAAGAAATTTAAAGAAAAAAAATTTGGCGTTAAAATATTGCTCTTTTTCCTCAACAGATAATGCTATTGCCAGTACTGCAGTATGTTGAGTTTTAATAGTTTAGTAATCATAAATAATGATTGAAAAAAATCTTCTTTAGGTTATGATTTATATACATATCTTTTATTTCTCTAAATGTAAGTGCTTATATTATATCCAATTTTGAATTTCTCTTTTTGACTTACATGATTATGCATGTTGTATCAAAGCTTTTCTCATATCCTAAAAAATTTCGCTAGTAAAATATTTGTTATCTTATTTTTCCAATGTTGGCAGGTGTGCCATAGAAAGTGTAAATTCGTTTGTTTTAATTTTAAACAATGATTCTTTAAATATATATTAAAAGCTGTCATAAGGAACCTGCATATCCTATTTTAGAGGTACAAAGGAGAAAGAAGTTGAAGATTCAATTGGAGGAATAAGTGTGAAATGTAACTATCATTCACTGCTATGTGTGATTATTGTAAATAATTTTTTATAGCTTTTTTTGTATTATTAACGTTTTTAATCTAAATTCATTCTAAGCTCTTTCTAAATTCGTAGTGAAATCTCAGTCATCTTGTTCGTTGAACAAGAAGTTAACATGTCATTTTAAATATTTTCTTAATATAATTTCTGAAATGAGTTAAACAATTTCAGTATTCAGTTTTAACAATTTAAGTTTAAAATAAATAATATTACAGCTATAAACTTTTGCTGTGATCTGAGAAAAGTAATAATATGCATTAGACTTTACAATTTTGCATCTAAACCAAAGCTTGTACCGAATAGAAAACAAGGTTTACAATATTTTCTATCTTATCTGTTTCAGTTTTTTTTATTGATTTTATAATATTAGCTTAAAAACTTTTAAAAATGGAAAATATTTTTTTAATTCAATTTGTTATATCAACATGCTCTTATAATTTTTGTTCTTTACATTATTTATTATTATTAGCTGGTTGCCCAGGACCTTTATTAATTTTAAGGAAAACTGTTTAAATAAATTTTTGATTAGTTCATTACTGGACTTTACATTACGAACTAATAGACTATATTTGTTTGAAAATAATTACCAACATAAATTTTACTTATACCTGAACTCTAAATATGCAAAAAATGCTGTGATAAGACATAACTTTTTTAAATTTTGCTGTCTTGTTTTGTATATTTGTCCCCAAAATGTTGAATTGTATAAGATCATATTACATCTGTATATAGTTGTTTATGAGTTTAAGGTAGTTATTTAGGCATGTAATTCTTAATTATCTCCTGAGTGATATGCACTCTTTTTTCTTAAAATTTAAAAGCTGTTTGCATGGAAAAAGGGTGGAAATTGTATGTATAAAAGTAAAAGCATAGTTATTTGTGCTTAAAAAACTCATTCTTTTTTTGCTGCTTTAAATATATATGGCGATTTCTTATTGGCTGAAACATTTTATTTAGACGAGTAATAATATTAATAAAATTAATTAAAATTTTAGGGCAATTCCATCGTTACATGTATAATATTTGTGAACTTCCAATGCATATTACTTAGTTAAGCCCTTTTAGCAAATTTGTCAAAATAACTCATGTTATTTACAATTCCTCTATTTTTTTTTCAACTTTCATGATATTAGAAAAAATTAACAAAATTTTTAACTGACTGTTATACATTGCTTAATTTTTACAAAATATTAACTTTTACCGAGGTTTCATTAAAGTCATGATAAATTTATTAACTGAAATTAGAAATTTTCCAAAATTCAATTTTTATAATTTTTTTTTCTACATAATTGTAGTATACTGTTACTTAAAATAATCAAAATATAATAAATATTAAAATTATTTTATTAAAAATTGAAGCAGAGTAATTAAGACATTTCTTGAATTAATTGACACATTTTTCAATTGAAAAGTCTTGTTAAATATTATTAAATATCAAGTAGTATAACATTAAAATATACTTTTCAAACTTTAAAAAAATATGTGATGTGTCAATGATGGTAAAGTTTGGAATTTCAACATCTGTGTTTAATTTTGATGGAGCTGCCCTTTGGTATGTTTACTTCTATAATATATTAAATGTGTTGCATAATAATTTTTGCAGTGACAAATTTTAAATTAAATTTCATACATTTTATACTTCAATTGAACAAATGTATTTTTACCTCAATTTAAGCTCTAAATGTATAAATATGAAAACATGTATTAGATAATTTTTTTTTTTTTTAAAGATTTTATATAGAATTATAAAACTTATCAAGTTATAAAAGTTTGAATGTCTAATGCTAGTCCACAAAATACTTTGCTTCTATCATTTTATTTAGTTGTACACTATTATAAATAATATTTACCTTTGGTCTATATATACAATTTCTTATTAATCTTGTATTTAAAAAAAGTCTCAAATTACTATCTCCCAATTATTTTCATTTTTAAATCTTAATTTTGTATGACTTAAATTTCAGAGATCTATGTTTATAATATTTTATTGAGTTTATGCTGTTGCTGATTACTTTATTTATTTTTATTTATTTATTTATTCATTCTTTGTAAAAAAAGTAAATTTTTACCAAATATATAAATTTTTTAAATGAGTTTGTTCCTTAGAATCATTTTAAGGATATATATTGTTTTTTGCAGAATTTTCTGATGAAAAGTATATATACACTTGTTATTTTTTTTAATTGTGTAATGATTACAGTGTGTTTCGTATAATGTAATAATTAATAATTATAATGTTCGTATAATGCAATAATGTAATTTTAACGTTATTAAATTTACGTTCTCTGTACATAAGAAAATGTTAATTGTAATGAACTTTGACTTATTTACAATTTACTATGTTGAGGCAAGTTAAAAGTGTGTATTTTGATATTTTAATTTAGTTACCTCATTTAGTTTAATCTTGTATCTTCAATTATTAATAGTAATATTATATTTATTTATCTGTTTAATATTTATTTAACCTTATAAAAAGATTATAGTTTTAATAATAAAATGAATTAATAATGATTTTAAATTTTGTTCTAGGAAATGAATGTAATTATTTGAATATTATGCTTGATCACTTTACATTTAGGCATCAAATAATTTCCAAGAATAATCTTCAATAATAAATTCATGATAAATTTTTATCAGTTTAGCTCATGTTATGAATATTTTGTTGTTATTGAAAATCACTTGGTATGATTAAAGTTATCAATTCTGTTGAAGCAATTGTTCAATTTTAATATATTTAAAGTTATATATTTTACTGCTAAGACAATTTTGATCTTCAGAATTAAAATTTGTAAGTGAAAAATATTCTTTTTTCATTAGAAATTTATTTTTAATGTCTGTCCATAATGTGAAAAACAATTAAAAATGCTTACCTATGCACATATACTTTTTATCGCTAATTATTGATTAGGGTTACAATTTCTTCATGAAGAAAACTTTTTCTTCTATGACACTGGAAGATGTGGAAAAAAACTGGACGAAATGGAAGAAACTTAAAATTATCTGTACAATTGTTTAAAGTTAACCATTAAAGAGTGGTTCAAATTGGAAACAAATAAAATTTATTATAGTGCGAGAGAGTGAATGATTATGTGATGGTTAGTGTTGGGATATGAAAATTAGTATGCTATTTGTAGTATACAATATGTGATTTTTAGCACAAGACCGTTTGTAATTTAATTACAATATTTTAATTATTCTGTTGGAAAGTAAACTTTTTTAAAGTTCTAAAGTTCAATTTTTACATTCTACATCAATCCTTTATCTAAAATATTGTAAGAAACACTAACAATCGCTTTTATTTCTTATTAAAGTTATTAAAATTATTTTACTGCTTTTCACTTATTTGAGAATTATTTATTAAAGGCATAGAAATTATTCTTACTATTTAAACTACATTGTTATTTTAAAGAGTTTCTTCTACTTCTGATGAAATAAACCTATTTTTCCAGTGTCGTTTTCCACTGTGGAAGGAACTGGCCATCCCTGTTTGTGATAAAAATTTTTGAATACATTGGTTGGTTTTAAAGATAGTTTTTTTCACAATGCTCAATTTGATGCTCGGGTAAATTTGTTCGTATTTGTTATGTGTTGTTAAAATTTATTATATTATATTTTAATTGATTGATTTAATCAATAGCCATTGATAGAATATTGCTAACATGTTTTTTAAACTGGCATTTGATTTAAATCTTTAATGAATTGAAAGTTATTAAAAATATTTCTGCTCATTTTGCTGCTCGGGTAAACTTGTTCGTTCTAATTTGTTATGTGTTGTTTAGACTTGTTATATTGTATTTATTTGATATTATGTATGAATGATGAGTGATACTGATTAAATACGTGAAAATTATTGTGATTTCAAAATTAAAAAGCAATAATTGTATTAATTATTATAAATGTGCCCTTTAGCAATCTTCTTGTATAGCCAGATAATCAGAGTTATCTTAAAAGTCTTGTTGCCTTTTGTTTTTAAATGTAAGAATACTTTACCTATTTTGAATGAATTTTCTTTACAGACATTACTTTTACAAATTTTAAGACTATGTTTGGATAAATCATGAATCAATAAACATTTGTGATAGTGATTGCAGTTTTTCTGTGCTACTGATGAAATAAAATATTTTATGAATAAATTGTTTTTCAGTATGTTCTATAATAAATGAACTTTTAAGTTATAGTTTTCTTCCACGAACGATATTAACTTTTTACATCCGAAGTGTCACGAAAAGACATTTACAAGCAAACTACGGCAAGTGTTTTTTGGTATTTGTCTGAGGTTTCATGAGTAGCTGAAAGAGATGGGATCAGTTAGGGGGAGGGTGAGCAAAGATAAGCATTGACAGTTTACATTAGTTACTCCTACTATTATTCCCTAAAATTTTTCAGAATGAGTTACTTTTTGCTTTGTAATTTGGCTTTTAAGAAAAAAGCGCCAATACTGTCATTTTAACATACATTGAAATCTATTTTGAAATGTAGAGTCCAGAATATTTTTTTTCAGCAGCGATTTTTTTTAAACATTAATAAAAATATGCATTCTAAGGTTACACTGTTTTAATAATTATCTTGCTCAAGTCATGTTTTATTTTTTATTCACAATTTGTTAACATTATAAACAAATTGATAAAAAAAACAGTAAAAAATGATGATAAATCAATAAATAATACTTTTTTATGCTGTGGTGCTTATTAATTTTTATATTGGTTTAATTATCAGAATTTATTCAGATTTCAATTGTTAAAAAACTGTTCAATGTTTTTTGTCAAAAATATATTAGATGCTCGGAGGGGTAAATTTTTTCTTCGTTTTCTTTCCATGTATAAGTTTAATCAGAGGAATTATTTTCATAAACTATTCTTAACTGAAGATTTTAACATAAAATACAATAACAAACAATTTGCTTATAAGAACTTAACACAAATTTATGATTTTCAAGATTTTTCTGTTTGGTTAAAAAAAGAAAAATAATGGTTAATGAAAATGGTGTCAGTTTTATTTTATTTTATGTTAAATTTTTATCCTTCCTCCTTTGTTTGAAGTAGCAGATGGGCAATTGAATAAAGTAAAATAAAGTTAAAATTTAGTTGTTAATAATAATAATTTAATTATTAATAATAACTATGATGAAGGAAGTCTTTGCTGCTTCCTTCATTAGCCGTATCGGGTTGAATAGTGGAATGTATATATGAATGTTCATTTAGGCCAATATTGAATGAATAAAACAATAACAGTTGAGTTTCCAGGAAATAATGTACAAATCNTTTACTACATTAATGTAGTACGTAATATGTATTAATAGTAAATAAATTGTTTTCATAATGTTCAATTATGAAAACAATTGAAAACAATTGTTTTCAATTGTTTTCATAATTGTTTTCATAATATAAAATTCAATTAGCATGAAATGATTATGATAGTTTTACTAATTTTGCGTTAATGAGGTTCTGGGTTCTGTAGTATGATTATATCATTAGTCAATTAAAAATTAGTCCTCTATAAACAGATATATTAATATGGAGTTAAGTATAGATAATTTTATGGCTTAATGTGATTTAAAATTATTCTGGTTTGGTTAAATTGGTTTATATTTTTGAGAAAGTATTTCTAGATTGTAGAAATTAGTATTAAATAATGTTTCAAAACACGAAAATGTATCTAAAAAAGCATTAAGAGCCTAAACTGTCACCCATTCTTCTGACTAAACTACAAGGCGTCATAATTTCTAAATTGCATCTAAACCAATTTTGAGGGTAAAACTTTTCAAATTTGTCAAAAAAAATTATTTGTGGGTCTGATTTCATAATTTAATTAATAGTAAAATTTTTTTTGCTGCCAACTTTAAGGTACACCTCGTGAAAAATTAAATTTGCTAATTTTTTTAAAAATACAACTTCACACTTATTCTCTCCAAACTAAATATTATCGAATTAACATGAAATAATTTGACAAGACGTGTTATAGTAAATAAAACAAATTATAAATATGCATTATGATTTGAACACAAAATAAACTCGTGAATTGTCTTCAATATAGAGTAACTGACAGAGTAGAATAAATTGCCTATACTGCACTACTCATTATATAATGGCATTATATGAACGATAAGGTTAAGTGTATTTTTTCAACTTTCAATGTACATTTTTTAAAATATTTATATTTTTGTTGGAAAAGCATCGACCCTAATAACACTTTCGAGGAAAAAAAAACTTATCAAATTAGTGTAAAATCAAAGTATTTTGATATTTCATTTTTTTTAATTTATTTTTATTACCAAGTACAATTCTAATTCTGAAATCAAGTTTTGAAATTATGAAGCTTAATATTTATTCTTATTATTAATTTTCATACTGACAAGCTGTAATTTAGAAAAAATAAATAAAACTAAGCGATGAATTTTCAAGACCTGATTTATTAGTTTGAAACTTAGAAATGAAATAAACCACAAAATATGTAATTGAAGTACATTAATCTCGTATTAAAAATAAACTATTAATGTAGTAATTTTGTAAAAAAAAAGAAAATTCTTAACATCTTTTTTCTTATTTTTTAATAAAACTATGAATACAGAAGTATTATTTAGAACAACATAGTGTAAAAAAATATTTATAAAAAAAGAATGTGAAACTGTTAAGAGCACTTATCTATAATACTAAATACAATAATTATCAATGTTTATGACAATCAAACATTAAAGTTAGCTTTTCATTGATCAAGTCATGCGAAGCTGGGGTGCCATCCACTCTGCAGAGGATCGAAATTGTGATGGTATGTCTTCGGATCATCCTCAGAGATGTTTCCCAGACCGTCGCCAATAGCCCATTGTGTTGTGTAGCTCTAGTGCTGCGTAAAAGAACTGCAACAGCAACTACTTCTATATATATATATTTAAATGTTCGTTAATTATCAAAATTGTTTTTATTTATTTATTATTATTTTTTTAAATATACATCCGTTTCAGATATATATGTTACCGGCAAAGTATGAAATGATTTATTTTTCACACATTTCCTAGGCATTCTATAGATTGCCAAACGAGAAACCGGCAAAGTATAAAATACATTTCAGATTCGTTTCAAATATGACTTGGCAAGGCTCGTGACTTTTGACTAATAACAAAGATTATTTTTTTACTGTGCTACATGGAAATGGAGGAGCAAGCTGTAGTATTAGAGAAAGAGTCATGGTCTATACACATGAATTCGACGATGAACTGTGCAAATTGAGAGTTAACGCTGCAAAAAACAGTGTTTTCTTAACCGAAATTACTTACCTGAAGTTAATAAATTATGTACAAAAAGCCAAAATGACTACTAAGAAGGAAACCAGGGACTATTGGTTGCTGAATCGCTACGATGTGATGATTGTGGAAAGCAAAAGTAAACTCATTTATCCTGTTAAAGAAGGCGCCAATACTATAAAGTATTACGTTACGGACAATGAGTTATTTCACGTACTTCATGAAGCTCATTTGTCTATTGGACACGGAGGACGTGATAGAATAATGAAAGAACTTTCAACCAAATACAATAACATTACACGTCATGATATTGAACTGTATATCCACCTTTGTGAACCTTCCCAAAAAAAACAGAAAGGTATTAAAAAGGGCATTGTTGTGAAACCTATGGTTTTTTCTGATTTTAATTCCCATTGTCAGGTAGATCTCATTGACTTTCTGTCTCAACCAGATAAAGAATACAAATTTATTATGGTGTACCAAGATCATCTCACAAAATTTGTGATTCTCAGAACTCTAACATCAAAAAGAGCTGAAGAAGCAGCCAACAACCTAGTGGACATATTCACGTTGCTTGGAGCGCCATCTATATTACAGTCTGACAATGGTAGGGAATTTGTCAATAATGTGGTGACGAGCTTGAAGGAGTTTTGGCCAGCACTGAAGCCTCGCCATTCACAAAGCCAGGGTAGTGTCGAAAGAGCTAATCAAGATATCGAAAATATTCTTTGTGCATGGATGCAAGATAATAAGTCTGACCGCTGGAGTGAAGGACTGCGTTTCGTGCAATTTACGAAAAATAGAGCTTATCATTCTGGGATCAAAAGAACACCATACGAAGCTCTTTCTGGCTGCAAACCTAAATTAGGGCTTACAACGTTTTCTCTACCCGAGGATGTTTTAAAAGACGTAAATACAGAGGAGCAGCTAGGAAAAGTAATAGAAAGCGTCCAAATAATGGACAAAGACGAAACTAATCAGATTATGCAAGAAAAAAAGCCTGTTTCAAAAAACACGCATAAGATTATAGGCGATAATGAACTAAACCAACATGATGAAGGCATGCTTACCGAAGAGACTTTCATTTCTGATACCTGTTGTGTGTGTTTAAGGGAAACGGGTGATGCACTTGCATGCAAAATGTGTCTTCAAAAAATTCATACCTTCTGTGGCCATACTAGTAATGAAATGGATATTTTGTGCAATATTTGTTTCAAAACTGAAAATGCTATCGAAAGTAAAATAAACTGTAAAATCAATCTCGAAATACAAGCCAAAAAAATGAATTTGGAAAAGAAATTTCCCACTGCTTCTTTGGGAGCTACAGTGCACGTTCCTATTCCTGACGTCGATAAGGGGCAATATCTGTAATGAATGTGACAGAGGGTGGTTTCTATCGACTTGGAACATCTGAAGGAATTTTAAAACAAGTATATGCGAGATCACAGTTCACTTTATGCCCTAAGAACTTGCTTAGAATTGAAGATTTTCCTGACCACGAAGTTCAGTTGCAATTGCTCAGTCCAGTGGCAGCGGCCAAGGATTCGCCAAATGTATGTGCAAAACCAAGTGCCAAAATATGAAATGTCTTTGCGTGAAAAATTTAATGAAATGTAATTCAAAATGTCATTCAAGCCTGCCATGTTGCAACAAGTAGGTTAATTTCATATTTTTTTATATGAAAATTTTGCTTCCCTTAATAAGAAAGGCTTAAGTTTTGTTTTGCATAACTTTTTAGTTTTCTTTTCACATTTTGAATAATTGTTTTCAATGGCACTCTCAGTATTTTTTCAGAATAACATTTTTATTTTTGAGAAATGCATGATACTGTGAATGACCGAAATCGGTAGTTTTAAATTTTTTCGATATTTTAATACTTACTGACGATAGATTAGAAGAAACATCAGTGTTGGGTATACCGGGCAATCGCACTTAACCTTAAAAAAACATCAGTGTAGGGTATACCGGGCAAATGTATACCGGGCAATGACACTTAACTAGAACTAGTATGACTGGACCTTTGGTAAATGTCCGAAATCTATACTAGGTCTAGTTAAGTGCCACTGCCCGGTATATCCTACACTGATGTTTTTTTAGGGTCAAGTGCTATTGCCCGGTATACCCTACACTGATGTTTTTTTAAGGTCAAGTGCCATTGCCCGGCATACATTTGCCCGGTATATCCTACACTGATGTTTTTTTAAGGTCAAGGGCCACTGCCCGGTGTNGGTGGAACTTAAAAACACAGTTTATTTTATTTGTTCGTAAGGGAGAGCCAGAGAGATACTTTATAAGCTTATATTCATGATTAATCTTAATTTTTTATCAGTAAATAGTTGTTATAATCATAAACTCTAGAAAGAAAGACATATTTGTAAATTTTAATTACTTCTCCAGGTCATCATAGGTATGTGTAAATGGTATAGGTATGTGTAAAATTTTAAAAATATTTTGAGTAAACTAAGAAATATTGAGAAAAAGGAGAAAAAAACCTTGTTTAAATGTTTTTCTAATTTTTCAATTTAAACTGTTTTTTTTTTTTTTTTTTAACTCAAGAAATTTTCCGGAATTTTGACTTGGGCTCACAATCACCCCTGATAATAACCTCATCAGGACGTTTATTTCATACTTTGCCTAAATAGCACCCGGCATTCTATAGAATGCCTAGGCAAAGTATGTAATACTTCTCACATTTCATACTTTGCATAAAAACGTCAGGCATTCTATACAATGCCGGCGTTTCATACTTTGCCGCTAACATATACAAGCTGACATCCTTTGAACGCGCAGGACAGAAAATTTTAATAAGACAATTTAAATAAATGAAATAAACTTACTTTTAAGTGTAATTAAATATTTCATCTTTAATTAATTATTTCAATTTTATGTTTGTCTTGATTGAAGCTAAGGGATTTCAAGTATCCTCATCGGGTAAAGTTATCTCTTAATGAATTTACACCAGTTAAATCTGCCATTAAATTGGCAAAAAGGGCTTTAAACACTTTAATGTAAAAGCATTTATTATAATAATGCATTCTTGTTATCACATTATTACACAATATTACAGGAACTGGAACCACGTATGGTTAAAAGCAAGTGTATATCATAGGAAAAAAGATTCTTGTTACCAAGGTAAATTACTTCCATAGATTTTCGAACGATTTTCTATTGGAGTAAATGGAATGTTAAAAAAATTCGTGACATAAAATTATTTAGTCAGCTAATTTTTACTCTAAACCATAGAATTATGTTGACATCTTTATTTTTTTGATCATACTACCATCATATTTATTGTTTTGAACTATTACTAATGGTTGAAACGTTTGTAATAATTGCAAGCGATCTACGACTTTGGCTTAGCACCAAATTCGTAGTCTTCTGGTTCGGAAAAAGAGTACCGGAGATAAAGTTTCACCGACCATTATCCGATTACTTCCCTTCCCTATGCTATATAACTCTATCATATTGGTGGGAAATATGACTGATTTAAATAGAGGATCTATAAATAAAAATTGACTCAAAGGATATATAACAGAAATTTTATTTTTTTAAAAAAGTTTATACATTTCTACAACGAATATTTCACGATTCATTTATTTATTCCGAAATTACAGAACTTAAAATAAATGATTGAAAACGTTAAAAATAAATAAATGTACGTCTTTTGGGCTATAGACCAAATCTGGAATGACATTAAAATTGAATGCAAAGATCTAAAGAAATGCAAGGAATATATATTATACGACAATCATCGTATATTTTTGTCGGATTAATTATTTTGATTTCGGGAAAATTTTTTGTGTATGAGAAGAAAAAAGAAATAAACAAATGCAGTTAATATATTTTCCTCATTTAATTTATCTAAACAATAGGTTTTTAATTCTTCATCTAAATCTCTATTAATTCAACCAAAGTGGAAGAAACTATTTTCAATAAAGTAATATCAAGTATTAAACCAAACTTTTAAGCAATTTACAATTTCAATTTAGTTTAAATAATAGCATTAGTTCCACATTCTTCATTGAGCTATTTTTAATCAAGCGAAATAAAAGAGCTGAAATTGAAAGTAATTTTAATGAATTTATTAAGAGATAAAAACTGTTTCTTTTAATGTTTCACTTAGAGCAGTGTTTCCCAAAGTGTGGTACGCGTACCCCCAGGGGTACGGAAACAGTTTAGCGAGGGTACGCGTCCTTATGCGAAATATCTTGCAATAAACGAAAATTTCAAACAAACTTATTTAAAAACAAAGCTAGCCATGAAAATTTACGATTACGTATTTTTCTATTTGCTATTTTTTGCGGAGTTTGCAGTTAATAATTAGTGGTGTCAACAGCCAGTTGTGATTTTTAACTTTTGTGCAATTTTTTTTATAGTAAAAAATACACTCATTTTTTTATTAGTGGTACACAGCATTACGAAAAATTTAGAAAGGGTACACAAAAGTCATAAGTTTGGGAAACACTGACTTAGAGGAATATAGACCTTTATTTAATTATAAGAAGAGCTTTTAAAATGTTATAAAAATATATAATATTGTAATATACTTATAATTACGTAGTGAATTCAAAATTAAAAATAGCATTCTAATTTTCGCAATCAAATATCATTAAGTATGAATACAGAAAACAATTTTTAGATAGTATGCTGAATGTATTTATCAATGGATATATTTAGTACAGATTTTACTTATACGTACCTAATGAATCAAAAAAATTATTATTTATGAAATAAATGCAAGAACTTTTTAACTAAATTACTAAATTTTAATTTTCATATCAATGATTAGTTTTATACAATTTTAAAAAAAAATTATGAAGTAGAAAACAACTTACAAGCTTTTTTTAATATTTGAGCAGAAAATTGTGAAAAAAAATTAATTAAAAATTCATTCATTTTAAATTGCATTTTCAATTATAGACTATTTAAAAAAAATAAAACTTGTAAATGTTTAAATATAAATGTTATATTTGAGCTTTTTTTTGGTTTTATTTGTGATTTTATCTTTATTTATGCTTTTATTTTGCTTAAAATTTTAAATTTCTATAATATCATAGATAAGAGGAAAACTAGTTCTTATTTTATTGTTAAATAAATAATTTTCTCTTTTTAAAAAAAGGAAGGAAAATTAATTCTTTCAAAATTTTCGAGAAATCTGATAAAAATGTTCTAAAAGTTGTCTTTAGTAATATAGTCCCGGTAATGGAAATTCTATAGCGGGCATTGCAGGTTACTACAGCATCTTCAAATTAATTTTTATTTGAGATTTCAAAAAAAGAAAAAAAACCCAGCTAGATAGTGTTTGAAAAAGGTTTTTTTTTTTAAAAAAAAGAAAGGTTTTTTTCTGCAGTGATAACGCAGAAATTTGTTTGCTGAGGACCTTAGCAGAAATTTTTGCATAATCCTAAAAGTTGAATTTAACTTAATCTGCATAAATTTTCTTCTGCCTAGTTATTTAGATGCTTTAAATATAGATTTAGTCCATCGTTCTTTAAAACCACATTTTCATGTTTTAAATGAAATGTAAAGATACATTTCTTGTGTGTAATTTTTATCTAACTTATATTTGCGAATTTAAATTTTGCTTTGCTTATGTTAGGGTTAGCCTCATTTAATTTTAATTTTACGATTTTAGTCTCCATGATTGCGTTTGATTTACTAACAAATTTTGATTTCTGAACATGGTGCTACAGATTAACTTATTAAATTCTGTCACCGGGGTAACAGTTAAGGAACGAAATTTTACTTTTATCAGTTACTATTGTGAGGGGGGTATAATTTAATTTTGTTCAAAAAAAATTCTCAACTAGTTTTATTGAATGTATTTTGATAATTAGAGATAACGCTTGAAAAATATAGTAGAGGTTTTCCTAAGCAAGTGGATGAAATACATTAACATTTCAATGGGAGAGAATATAAAAAATCAAGTGCTGCAGTCAGTTGCATTGACACTAGTTAGAAATAGAATTGAGAGAACACGATTCATTTGTTTTTAATTGAATAATATCCATAATCTGTAAAACACCGACAATGTAATTGACTAAGTCATTAAATTTCACAGTAATACCATGAAATCTAAAAGAAAAATCGTTACGGTGCTCTTTTAAGATATTTACCGGTGATAAGCATGTTAGCAACAAGGATAACTTTTGGCAGATATTAAAACAATGTGAAAAAAATATCTCTATCTCATGAATACTGTCATCGATGCCTACAAATATAATAGCTTCTCACAATATTTAAAACGGTGCGAAATATCTGATTAAGATTACTCAATAAGTTTTACCTTAAGAAATTCATTGCATGATTATCACGTCTTTTATCTAACCTATTTGTACTTATTGTTGTTGCGTGTACTTTTTGTATTTATTGTTGTTTTTGTGATCAATCTGAATCACATTTATTAAATTGATAATAAAGTGATAAAGCATAATTCACTAGTGCTCTAATTATGCAAAAAAAGAAAAAAAACCCTCCTGATAATCGAGTTGTTGACGGGTATGTACTGTGTACGGATTTATGAAACATGCTTACTTAACCTTTCAAATAAAATTATGAAGAGAAAAAAGAATTCTATATTGAATAAACCTTTTTCACACAACTATGTATGTTTTTACGCTATATTAAATATTAGCAAAATTTTTTACCATAATTTTTATAAAAATATGAAAAAGATAAAATTTTTTTTCTCAAGTTGGGAAAACAGTTTAATTTTAAAATGCTGGCCTTATTAACCCTCTAAAGCAATAAGTATTGTTTCATCTAGTATTAAACGCACACACACACACACGCACGCACGCACGCACGCACGCACGCACGCAGAGATATATATATATTTCTTTTTACTCATTTTTCTTTTATCGTCATTTTATGCTTAATACTTAGCAAGATTAAATTATTAGATTTTTAACTGAGTTGAATAATTAAATACTTCAGTTGAATAATGAATTTTGCGTAATATTTAGAATTAAAGTTCATGTTTAATTAAATATAGCTTAATTCCAATCAACATGATTTTAAATTGTTAAAGCATTTCCATGTTTATTTCTTTTAACTCACTGCTTGCATTCCCCCCCCCCAAAAAAAAAATTCAATTGAAAAATTTTATATATCTATATTTTAATAATAAATTGTTAATTTAGAAAGTTGTAAGAAAAAACATAGACAATACATGCTAACAGTTTTAGCACTAATCGCATGAATACTATTGAAAAACTTGGTAATATATTTATGTACCGTGGGGGAAAAAAAAGAAATCACCCTGAATAACTTTAAATTCTAATGATCGGATTTTCACGTACTAAGTGTCAATCTTAATGGTTCCTGGGAGTGACCGCAAACATGCTAATTATTTGGTGCTAAATCTTAATTAAGTAACGAAATCGGACACAAAAACGTACTTTCTTTGAATAAACACATACTAATATATATATATATATATATATATATAGCACAATAAAAACAAAACTGAACTGAAAACGGAAACAAAGAGAAAACGAAAATAAGTTAATAGTTAATAGATAATAATAAGTTACATATTTCGATTCTTTATCTTTAAAATGCAGGGAGTAGCCGCAACCTGAGAAACATGGTCCCCACAGTTAGGTCAGGAGAGGGATTCAAAGTTTGGACCCCCCTAGCGTTAATTTCACTTTTTGACTTTTAAGTCATATTTTTATAACTAATTAAGCAATTCATAAAAATACTTCACCCACTCATAAAATTTATTTACCCAAAGATAATTTCATGCAAAAAAATTTTTTTAATAATAATTTATCATTTTTTATTATTTAATTTAATTGAGGATGAAAAAATTTTGAATTATGAGGTAGGAATTTTTTTGTACCATATTAATCAACATATTTTTCTATTGAAAAATTTAAAGTTTGAACTGTTTTTATGCAGTAGAATCTGAGAAAAACTAAAATTAATTGTTTTAAAAATAATT